TGTCTGAATTGCAAAAGAATGCTCTCCTTGGCTCGGCAGCAAACCTGCGTAAGGTCCTTGATTTGTAATGCTCTGGGGTGGGTGGCAGAGTTCTTCCGGTCCTATTTTCCTCAAAGCCCTCTCGTGTTTCCTATGACCGATATTTTAAAGAGTGTTGTGTTCTTCTCTCTGTTCTTTACCTGCCTTCATATCAATATTCATATGATGCATGGCCCCACCTTTCGCTGCTGGATGCCAGCCCAGTGGGTGCAAATCTCCGGCCTTTGGCTGAGTGCTGATGGCTATTTAAAAGGATCATTCGGGGAAGTGAACTTCCTGAAAAGAAAAGAAAACGCTAGGCCCACCAGGACTCGAACTGGGGACCTTGATTGTCATGAGCAATGCTCTAACCACTCAGTTATGTGACCAGGCTGAACCTAGAAGGCACTGAGAAATTGTTCACTCCAAAGGCAGCTCACAACCCGTCCCACACAAATTGATGGCACTTGGGTCTTTCCCCTCCCCCCCCCCCCCGCCCCCCCCCCCCACAGGGGACCAACCACAGTCAGTTTCTGGAAAGTACTACCAGAGGTGAAAGAAGTGTTTGTTTTTTTCACGGCTGAGCGTAGCGAAAGAGTGTAAAATCGTATTTTTCACTCACAACGTTTCTGTTGTGCACTGCTGCTCTTCCACTCCGCAACTATCCTTCACCTGCCATCGTGGTATTGTGTTCCTCGTGTTAACTTGGAGGTTTAAGCCAGCCCCATTTGTGTTTACAAAGGTGCTGTGTAACTTTTTGTTGAGTTCGAAACAGGACGACTGACAACGGGAACAAGTTAGTGGGAACGACATTTATTATAGACGACGAGACAAGAGACCAAGACGAACGAAACGACTACATGGTGATTATTGACGAATGAGAAAAGAGAAAGAGAGAGAGATCAAGTCTGAATGGCAAGATAAAGGGCCTGGGTAGCTATGGCAAATATGGGCGCGCAAGTAGTTACCCAGGCCAACGGAACAAAAGGAGACAAAATGTGAGTACGTAAGTGCATGCAAGCCAGCTAGAAAAGGTACGGGAGGGGGTACCTAACATACCACCCCTCCATGAAAAAAAATCCCGCGTCCTCGCGGAGAGAAAAAAAGAGAGAAAAAGATTTAAAAAAAAATGACTGACGGAGAAAAAAACACACACACACATACTGCACGCGCGCACGGATCTCACGAAAGTGTGTACTAAATGCACTACAGATTATTCCTGTACTACTTATAGTGTGTAATAACTATTGGAGTTTGACGAGGAACGTGAATTACTAGTATTTTGCGCGGGGCTAATACAGCCTAGTTACACTTTTGCTAAACATCCAAAAATTAGAGCGTGGCTCACCATGATCGGACCCCTAACTTGGTAATGTTTTACGAACACACGCGCGCACACACACTACAAAAAAATTCACGAAAATAAATTTGACGAAGAAGCATAAAAAAAAGAAAGAGAGAAAGGTAGCTGACCTGCATGGCTTGAACGAGAATAGACGAGGTAAGGTTGGCGTAGGAGAGACGAGGTTGATAGAGACGAGACGAGGTTGGCGTAGGAGAGACGAGACTGACATGGACGACACGAGGTTGACATAGACGAGACGAATGGTGGATGAGGACGGCTGGGCATGGGATGATCTCAGGGTCGTGGGTCGATCAATAATCGGGCGCCAATGTTGAATTCGAAACAGGACGACTGACAACGGGAACAAGTTAGTGGGAACGACATTTATTATAGACGACGAGACAAGAGACCAAGACGAACGAAACGACTAAATGGTGATTATTGACGAATGAGAAAAGAGAGAGAGAGAGAGAGAGAGAGATCAAGTCTGAATGGCAAGATAAAGGTCCTGGGTAGCTATGGCAAATTTGGGCGCGCAAGTAGCTACCCAGGCCAACGGAACAAAAGGAGACAAAATGTGAGTACGTAAGTGCATGCAGGCCAGCTAGAAAAGGTACGGGAGGGGGTACCTAACACTTTGGTCACCCATTGGCATGACCAAGGCATACGTATTTCCCTGTATCTGGATGACGGAACCGGAGCCGCAAACTCCATAGAGGAGACCCAGTGGGTCGCCCCACTTGTGAGGTCAGATTTGGAAAAATGCGGTCTTGTCATCAACAAGCAAAAGAGTAATTTTCAACCCCGGCAGGTGGTCTTTATCTTGGATCATGTCCTGGACAGGGCCAACAACAGCATTCATGTCACCCCAAACCGTGTATCCAAGTTTAAACTGCTGCTAGGTGAGATTATGTCTGACCGCACTATAGTCCTTGCACGCTTGCTTGTCAAACTAACTGGGTCGCTCAGCTCTATGTGGCTTGCGCTGGGCTGAGTGGTGCGCTTACAGACAAGAAGCTTGCACGCATGTCTGGTCCCAACCCTAGAAGAAGGCTGGGAGATAGCTATCCCAATTGAGCAAGCTGCTAAGTCTGAATTTAAAAGTTTTTGGCAATCTGTATTTGATCATTTTCATGGGAGGCCCATCTGGTCTGCCGGGCCCCGCACGGATGCTAGAGACTCGACTGGTGGGGTGGTTTAAGGGGTTGAAATCGCAACGGGTGAGTGTCCCTGGACCATGTCAGCCGCTCCACATTAACGGAACTGATTGCTTCCCGCTTTGCCCTAATCTCTTTAGTGTCTCGATTGTCTGGCCATGCAATTTGTCCTTATTACCGACAGCCAAAACGTCCTGTCCATTTTTGTGTAACCCAACGCTGCACCAAGAAGCTGTTGACATTTCCTGTTTCTGTCAACGCGAACACATAATGTCATTGAATTGTTTTCACAGTGGATCCCCAGGGGTGGAAACACCACGGCTGACTATCTCTCACGGATTCTAGACAAGGGCGACATCTCGTCAGTTTACCGAAAAATAAAGGAGAATTTTTTTGCCATGCTCATCCTGAAAACTCTACATTTCTGTCCATTACTCCTGAAATGGCTGCTGCTTCGCCAATTAGCTGGATTTTCCTCAGCCAGGTTGGTCATTCTTTGACTGCTAAGATAAATACATATATAAGCGAAGGTGAAAGTGGTGTCGCGACTCATAGCAAAGAAAGTATTTCCGTTCGCTGTCGTGTCCGGAGACCATTTTCGTGATCAATCCTCAAGTAGCAGAGTAGTTCCTGGAAACTATTTCTAGGAATTTTACTTGATTATATGGCGTCCTATCCTATTCTGCCGAAGGGCCGTCGGCAGATTATTGCGTGTACAGAGGATGCCTCTTGGGAAAATATGCGAAACCAAAGCCATGATATTGCCTTCACTCAAAGTAGAGTCCAGGAAAAGCCCGTGAACTTCCGAAGCAACAGCCGATTGCTTGCTTTCGGGCTTGCTTGGTGCAAGACATTTTCCACTGTCTGCCAGAGAGCACAGTTTCATGAAGGATGTCTTGCCCGAGGTTTGGAGGTTGATGTTCTGTCTTGGGAATGGCTCCATAGCTTTATCACCACCGTTATCCGTTTGCTTCTTCGAGTCGGATCCTGTATCAGACTCATCGAGAAGCTCGGGCAATTAGTATTCACTCATCCTCATCTGGAGCATATAACTATGTGTCACTTTTAATTCTTCGCCCACAATGATCCAGTCACTCTCCTTGCATTCATTCCCAATCTCCTGCCCCGAAGTTTTTCAAAATCAAATGAAATGCTTTCGGCAGCCACACTACGCCTGCCGAACATGGCTTCCGCCAGACCGACCTAAACTCAAAGGAAGTTCGAAGAATATTTTACCTGTGCTGGCACTTCATATTTTTCTATGTTGCAGATGATAATAGGGGATCACTTTCCATCACTTCGGGCGAACAAATTTGTCTGTTTCGACAGGATTCAGGATTACGATTTAGACCAAAACTACATGTGAAATATGCATAGTCGCATTTCCATATGTGAAAATTACCACCTTCATGGTCCTCCATCTACTTGCTCCTAAACGTATTCCTCTTTACAATATTCACCTGTGTTTCTGAGCCAAACTCGCTCTCTTATTGATGCCTGTAGTATGTGAAGTCATATGATGCCGCGCGGTAATTCTAGGTAACACACCCTGGCATTTCGGTACAGTACTCAAATTTTGGAAGTACAGTCGCCAATAACACAATACAAAATAAATAAAAGTCACAATTTTTGGGGGATTCTAACCGCCCATATCAAAGCAATCAAATTTTGAATTTCGCAAATGCATCATAATGCCTCTGGTAGTTCTAGGGTTAATCATAACCGGCTGGCATGGCAAAATAACATTTTTAATATATACAATGGACATTTACCTCGGATGGTTCTTCACATTTTGCATAACATTTTGAGGATTGAACAATAAAGATGACTACTGAACTTCGTCTTTATTTGAAAAAAACTAGGTGTCGGAATAAATAAACTTAAAAGCGCAAGCTTTAAGTCAGGTGGCACCACCCGAAGCTGCGTTCGTCTCCCCCTACCTAGGTCTACCCTATTCGTAAATTCCCCTTTATTTTCCTCCCACTCCACGTGGCTCCAACTGCCTCCCAGTGTTAGACAAGCTCCAGATATGCCCAAATTCCGTACCCTCGTCAGACAGCACTTCAGTATCTCCCAGTAAACTAAATCACAGTCACCACTTCCGCTGCATAGCTCGCTGAGCATCCTATTGCTTTTTTAAGTTGCTAATCCTTTCCCACTTTGTGTACGTGCTCTTCATTTCTTTTCTTTTTCTCTTCTTCCGTGGTTGGTCTCACCCTCTCCTGAATTCAATTGGCTCTCTTGACATGCCACGAGGTGCAGAAATAAATACTTTGAAGTAAATAAATACGCAAGGAAGGCAATGGTGACAAATCCATTCAAGTAAATAGGAGAGATCAAATCAAATAAATAGGAAAATCCAATCAGAAAATAAAATAAAAGAATCAAGCCAACTAGGGAATACCAAAACAAAGAGCAAACCCGCATCCGCAACAGATACCACTCGAGCATGGAGAAGTTGAGTCCTGAACAGTACTTACAGCTTTTTTAGGTTTGTTAGACCAGTGAAATTGACATTTTGTAACGTTGTGATCTGATTATAGCTCAAAAATCTATGAAATGAATATGAAGCACACAGACAATAATGAAAAGGCGACGAGGAGACAATAACTTTATCAATGCGATTAATAGTATTAGTGAAGCGGACATTACAAAAATGATGAATGAGAATACATGTATCTAAAATGGTTGTTCCTAATCGATTTTCTTGAGACTATCATCAGGGAAAATCGTCTCACAATAGAGGCTATACGGAGAAACAAACTACTTATAGGTTATTGGATAGTGGGAAGTATACAAGGTGAGGTGTGAAAAAACTAAAGTGGGAGAGAAGACGAAAGAAATTAGAAGAAAAGATGTGAGAGTGTTCCCGACGGTGTGAGCTACTACATAAGGTGAGTGAAATGAAGGCGTGGAAGCAGGTGAATGTGATAGAGTGAGGAACTGTGAGGTGTAGGTGTATGCGAATGAATACGTGTGAGAATGCTAGGTGAAGAGTCTCAGTTTTGTGACATTTTCTTTCTGAATGCATAGATTAGGATTGTGTTTACGGATGAAAACAGCTTCTAATACCTTAAGTTCACGAAACCTACGAGCACGACACAAAACAGTGAAGCATGAATCATCATACACTGAGCGGCATTGGCTACTAGACAAGAGGTGAGAGCAGTGAGAGCAGTGATGAAGAGAGTGAGTTGGACAACCAAGATGAAGATGACCGGACTGAAGGTGAGACCACAACGAAAGGGTCAGCCATTAAGAAACACCTCTTGTCTAGTAGCCAATGCCGCTCAGTGTATGATGATTCATGCTTCACTGTTTTGTGTCGTGCTCGTAGGTTTCGTGAACTTAAGGTATTAGAAGCTGTTTTCATCCGTAAACACAATCCTAATCTATGCATTCAGAAAGAAAATGTCACAAAACTGAGACTCTTCACCTAGCATTCTCACACGTATTCATTCGCATACACCTACACCTCACAGTTCCTCACTCTATCACATTCACCTGCTTCCACGCCTTCATTTCACTCACCTTATGTAGTAGCTCACACCGTCGGGAACACTCTCACATCTTTTCTTCTAATTTCTTTCGTCTTCTCTCCCACTTTAGTTTTTTCACACCTCACCTTGTATACTTCCCACTATCCAATAACCTATAAGTAGTTTGTTTCTCCGTATAGCCTCTATTGTGAGACGATTTTCCCTGATGATAGAATCAAGAAAGTCGATTAGGAACAACCATTTTAGATACATGTATTCTCATTCATCATTTTTGTAATGTCCGCTTCACTAATACTATTAACAGACAATAATGTTGTTAACAGGTAAAGGCTAGTAGTGTAGTAAACATTAGTTCGTTGACACGATGATGTGGGCTACGACTACTACTACTATTCCTAAGTAAACAGTTTCCTCTGAGACAAAATGCTATAATACTCAAGATGTTCATAAAGGGCCTGAAGTGTGTCCTTTTTAAGAGTATTACTACTATTCCTATTAGCATTATTGGAATATCTACACAACTCAGTTTTTTAACGTTGTGATCTGATTTTTGGTCAAATGTCAATATGAAGCACAAAAACAATAAAATGTTGTTATACAGGTAAAGTTTACTAGTACACAATACAACACAGTAACAACACTTGGAATGTGCAGGTCTGATGTTGCTATACGAGGGATAACGTTGAAACTATGTTGTAACTCAGAGGTTCATTATGACTTAATTGTTCGACAACTTTTTTTAACCTAGGACTAATCATTCTACTTCTGCTCATGTATGAGTCTAGGTGTTGAATAATTTGGTGGATAAACGTTGAGCACATACCACGTACTCTCGACGTATTGCATGAATCAATTATTGTTCTTCCCTCATTCGGTTTTGGAAGGGCATGGAGCGAGAGGCTCTGCTCCTTCCCTTACCAGCTGGTGCACTCAAGAAAGCAATAGTGGTCATGCATTGGCATGGAGATACAACCAAACAAACAAAATCTAGCCAACCGGAAAGATCTCAGTTCATGACAGCAAACGGGAAAAGGCTAGAATCTCAAAGGTCTGAGCTGAGAATGTAAAAATCGTTGACCATGTCTCAGACCCAGAAAATATTTGGAAACCTCCTCCAGTCGACTTCAACTTGGTACCCTCTGTTGCTTCATCATGGTATTTGACCTGTCTGCCTTTCAGTGATACTCTATGCATGTTTTCATGTCACCACGGTAGGTAGCACTCATTGTGAATAGTTGATAGTACTCACAGGCTATAGACTTCGGTTAGACCAGTGAAATTGACATTCTCTATTGTTGTGATCTGACTTTTTCCCAAGCGTCTATGAAATGAATATGAAGCACACAGAAAATACTGCTGTTAAACAGGTAATAATGATAAGAACAGCTCGTTTGGAAGACATCATGCTGTGGTGTGGGTTCCGCTGTGTGTTCTGCCTATGTTCTCTGTGCGTTCTCTATTGCGTTCTGTGTGTCCTGCAGTGCGTGTGTTCTTGCATATGAGTGCTGTTTATGTTTGAATCCCCCTGTAAGAAGACCATAGGTCTGTGGGGACTGCCCTAGTAACTGAATATGAATAAATAATAATAATAAATAATCCATAGTCTGTATGTACATGATCTGTACGCCATACGCGGCTCTGTGTGTACAACGCATTATACGTGCTTGCAGATCCCGAAGACCCTGGTCAGCGACAATGGTCCGCAATTCACGTCACATCTGTTCCACCAATTCTGTTTGGAGGACGAAATCAGTCATATGCGCACACCGCCATACCATCCTGCGTCCGATGGACAAGTAGAACGGTGCGTCCAAGAGTTGAAGAAGGCGCTACGCACTCACCCGAACAAGGTACCAGCCTAGCCGGCAAACAGCTCTACCGCTTTGTGTTCGCCTACCGCAACACACCGCATTAATCAGTAATCTAATTTCTTATTATGCTCGGAGGATTTAAAACAGGTGCATTTGGACATAGAACGGTCTGAGAAGAAAATGTGATACATGTAATGCAAGTGCTCTTTTTGCTGCTTTCTGTCTGCTGTTTTGAAATTGGCTGACTTAACAAAACATCAAAGCTATTATTGTATGGTAGCAGTATTAAAGGCACATTACTCATACGTAGATCTACTTCTCGCTGAATAGTTCGTTCAGTTGCCAGCTGGGGAAACTGCCGGGTTTCGCACAATGTGAATGCACAAGTTGGCAGTTACTTACAGACTCCTCAAACCTTTCATATTGTGAAACATATCTTTGTGAAACTCTCTGATTTTACTATTGGACAAGTCTCTGCAGGTTGTGAAATAGCAGACCAGAAACACCAGGTGACGAAATAGAAGATTAAAAAAGGCAGAGTTAATAACAATAAATGTAGAAAGGAAAAAACATTATGGATACGAGTTAAGAGTAGCTCTCCATCATGAGTTACTCTTAACTCGCATCCATAATGTCTTTTTTCCTTTCTACATTTATGGCTCAACATCCGAGTTTCAAATAATAACAATAATTATTATTAAGTCACCAAACATATTATTATTGGAGGAATTTAACAAGAATTAAACAGTGGTTGTCCGATTCTCTTCCAGTCATCAAGGACGTATTCAGTAGCTGGTCGCTTACTCTGTACACGGGGGAAACAGAGTGGCTGAACCTAACTCATGATGATCACACTTGGGCGATCCTCTGGCCAGCTTGGGTCCTGCCTTGGTGACAAGGAGTTTTGTAAGAATTGTGAGCGACGAATGAGGTTGGCATCAACTGCCTGGAGTAAAATGTACACCCTGTGGGTCTATTAATGGGTTTGCTCCCACATGGGAGCTCGCGCTATTCCGCCGATGACTTGACACTTGACTGACTCACGACTGCCATCCAGAGAACACGAGAAGTCCATCGAACCTTCGACTCGGCAAACCTGCAAGAAAGCACTACTCCCTGCTCAATACACAGTGTTTCGGGGAATTCACCCCTCATCAAGTCGTCGGTGGAATAGCGCGAGCTCCAGTGTGGGAGCAAACCCATTCCTAAACAAAATCATCGCCGAAGTTGCAACCTCTATTTCGTACCCTGTGGGTCTGTCGAAACAAGATCAGCCAGAAGTGGAGACTGCAACTGTATCAGGCCCATGTCAAGCCACATCTGCTATACAACTGTGCGGCATGGGGCCTGACGCAAGCTGCAACTCGGAACTTGGATGTCTTTCATGGTAAGCAATCACGTAACTCGATGGACGTGACATACGCCAACATCATCTCCAATGAGCAGCTATACATGAGATGTGATAAGGAGCCGATATCCGCAATAGTGGAGAATGCCCGTTTGCATGTGCCGAGGAACAACAGCGGGAGGAAAGTAATAACTATTATACTATAATGATAGTTAAGAGTAGAGCCCACAAGCTCTCTTCCATTACCACTGCAATAGTTCAACTCATTTCACAATAATTATTCCAACGTTTCGGCAAATTGCCTTCATCAGGTTCACAATGGAAGAGAGCGTGTGGGCTCTGCTCTTAACTCTTTATGAAACTGCAGGAAGCCTCCCCACTTTTTACTTACTATAATGATAGCAATGAATAATATCAGTTCCGCGGTCATGCCACACAACAAAGAAGTCCAAAAAGAGGTTAAACCAAAATAGATTTTCTTGTCACTCTCATCAGTGGATTTTCGTGACTGAAGAAATATAGTGTTCAGCAGAGCAATACATGATCATTGGAGTGACACAATTATACGACAGTGCTAAAACAAGAAAGGAGCGGGAAACAGCGAGGTGAGATCATAGCTATGAGCCATATACATTCACACAAAAATGAACAATGTGTGAACTCGCGAATATAACTTGAGTACTACCACATATACAATGCTTCTTTTGCCTACACAGAACTGGCTTATACACACAAATACACCCAGAAAAAGTATTCATAAAAGACGATACTGTTCGGTCAAATGACAATCTATGTTCCGTTAAAGTTTCTGTGTGAACGTTTGTACAGTGCTGCTTGATCCTTCCTCTCGCATTTTGACTACCTCCGGTTTGGTACTTTGCTTGCTGAGAATGACAACAAGCAGCAGGTCAAACTCATCGCCAAGTATGATAAGAACTTCAAATGGTTACGTGCGAAGCGAAACGGCTCCATGAATATCAACACAGACACGATCATTAACCTCGCGAACATACTACTTTCCTCGGTGCAAAACAAACTGCTTTGCCGTGGTACCGACTATGGTTTCCCTCCTTCTAATAACAAAAAGAAGATTTTGACGCAATTCGAAATTTTCCATAAACGACTCATAGTTGACTTTGCTCCAGTGTTTGAAAACCACCAGGGCTATCTGTAAAGCAAATCTCCGTGCAATCGCGGAAGAACACGCAGAGAAGACAACACTTTACATAATGTACATATATGGCAGTGATTTGTGACTGGTCGTGGGGCATTGTGACAGGTAAATTAATTTGTGACCGGTCATGGGGGGTTTGTGACTGTTTGACTGGTCAAGGGGACCTTACCTCGACTGGTCACGGGGACCTTGCCTTGACTGGTCACTGAGTCCTACATTATTATTATCATTATTTGCATTTTCGCGTCTTCGTCAATCAAATGATTGATAATTTCGCTTATGCTGAGTGGTGGTAAACAGAAATCAAATAATAAAGAAAGATGCTGATGTCAAGGCAGAAAACAACATAAGGGAAGGAAAAAAGAATACAGGATAAGTATGGATATCGAATGCGATACGTTATGATAGTTATTGCATGTTGATATTGTGATTGATGGTGTGATTCTATTCATCATCATCATTATCATCATCATAAGCCCATAGCCCTAAGACTGTCAGGGCGTCACAGAGCAAGTATGAACAAGCGAGCGCCATAAAAATCTATGGCGTGCCGCAGCTGCAAGGACTGCACGTCAAGTGCAGACCATGAAATAATTATTATTATCAAGCCATGACATTCTAGGCCTGCCTCGGCCACGACCTCCAGCAACACAACCCTGAAGAACAGTCAATGACAAACAGCCAGTGATTCTATTCCTACAGTTTAAATACTGAAGGAGTTGATAATCATAATGGTATTATGGTATTTGGGTAATATAAGATAGTATTTGGATGTTTGATGATAATACATTTCCAGTTGTTATTGAGTTACACATTATTATGGCTGTTGTCGTGACTGGCTTTTAGAGAAAAGGGAGAGAGAAGGAGAGAGAGAGAGAGAGAGAGAGAGAGAGAGAGAGAGAGAAAGAGAGAGAGAGAGAGAGAGAGAGAGAGAGAGAGAGAGAGAGAGAGAGAGGGAAACATAGGGAGATGAGCAAATTGAGGAGATATATCCGGTTGATTGGACGTTGCACTGTCGGGCTAATACGGGATTACAGGTACATTGATTTTTAACTAGTTGGATTAACATATTGCCTCACCCAGAGCCTTCCAGCTCTTACGACAGGCAGCTGTTGCCCGGAGCGAATGGAGATCTCCCAGAGTCAGGAGTCTACCCTGCCAGGCTTTCTGCAGATCTTGATGCAGCACGCTGGGAAGAGTGACGTGTGGCCGGCCAAGCCATCTGGTGCTGTTATTTGCGAAAATGATTTCCATTGCCAATACTGCGGGGGTTGATGGTGGCAGCCGCAGGATGTGACCAAATAGACGCCACCTGGCACGGCGTACGAAGATGCTGATCTCCTCCATTTGGCACCTCCAGTACAGTGCTTCATTGGAGATGCGCTGTGGCCATTTGATGCCAAGGAGAGACCACAACTGACGTTGGTGGAAGGCATCCAACTTCTGGAGAGCAGATTGCGTGAGGCCCCAAGTGCAACAGTTGTACGTTAGGACGGGTAGGACCTCTCCTACTATATTTCCCATATAATCAACTGGTTACGAACTTAGACGTTGTGACTTCGGCGGTATTAGTCATGAACTGGGTTGTTCCAAAGAGGAACACACGCTTCTTGCCGAACTTGACACTTGACTGACTCCCGACTGCCATCCCGAGCACAGGAGGAGCACGTCGCACCTTGCGCTCAGCAAACCTGCAAGAAAGCACACCTCCCTGCTCACTACACAGTGTTTCGGGGAATTCACCCCTCATCAGTTGAGCTTGAGTAAGTTGACGAAGCTTTTTGCCTGAAAAGCACCACTTATATAATGCTCTCCAGGTCAAACCATCACCGGGGATACAAACTTACAGAGACGTGTTATGTTGTGTATTGAGCAGGGAGTGGTGCTTTCTTGCAGGACGATTATGAGACGAATTAATAACATGACCATGCGGTCTAACTACAATTCAAAGCAACACACCGCCCAACTTGGGTGGGTTAGCAATATGAGATATAAAGAAAGGGGACACTTTGCGAAAACGAATCATAACCATGAACCTTCCAAGCTGGAAGGCTGTTGGTTTGCGCACTGTAGATGTGTTAGAGCTAGGTCACAGGCCGTTGAATGTCGCAGTAGCCTGTCAGTGTTGTGCCTTGTTATCGCACTTTCTGACTGCTTATTATCGTCTTACAGTCGTGGATAGTTGCTCCATAACTCGTTCCCATGTGTTTTTCTTCTATTTTTACCTTTTCTTATTGGCTCAGTATCCGACTGTACTGCTAGTATCAAAAGCACATTGCTCCTGCGTATTTCTAGATGGACAGTTCAGTTGACACTAAGGAAACTACCCGGTTTCGCACACTGAGGGTGAATGCATTAGTCAACAGTAACTTACAGATGACGCAAACTTGTAATGCTACTTCCAAAAGTATGAAAAAAGTCTTTGGGTAACTCTCTGATTGGATTGTTGTCCAATTTTCTGCAGGTAAAAAAGCAGAAGCCAAAACAAAAACAAAAGAACAACCAGTTGAAGTTTTAAAAGGCTAAGAAATTAGCAATCAACAAGTCACCAAACAGGTTACGCTCGGAGGAATTAACAAGCTGCAATTGGACATAGAAGGGTCTGAGAAGAAAATGTGATAACGCAAGTGCATTTGTTTTGCTGGGATGTGTTAAGCTGCCCTAGAGAGCCCTCGGCCATTCGATTGATATCATGGGGAGCGCATCAAACTATGTCCACTGCGACCAAACGCAAATTGGAATTTCAAATTTGGACTTCGCAGTTTCCCTAGTGGCAACTGAACTATTCAGCGAGAAGTACGTAGGAGACCTATTCAGCGAGAAGTACGTAGGAGTAATTAGCAAATTATAGGTCATTTTCATCTTGACATAGCAAGCACAATTGCACAATGTTTTCTTGCTGTTTTCAAATTGGCTGAGTTAACAAAACATCAAAGTTATTACTGTACAGTAGCAGTATTAAAGGCACATTACTCCTACGTACTTCTCGCTGAATAGGTCTCCTACGTACTTCTCGCTGAATAGTTCAGTTGGCACTAGGGGAACTGCGTTTCGCACAATGTGAATGCACAAGTTCGCAGTTACTTACAGATTCGTCAAGCCTTTGATATTCTGAAACATCTCTTTGTGTAACTCTCTGACTTTATTATTGGACAAGTCTCTGCAGGATGTAAAATAGCAGAAACCAGAAACACCAGGTGATGAAAAAGAGGATTTAAAAGGCAGAGAAATTAACAATAATTATTATATCTGGCAAGGTACGTTCGGGCCTGATTGGAAATTTTTATTTCCATTGCTATCAGGTTCGGCCTCATTTCCTCTGTGCTGCGCTGACGAGTCCACAAAGGACGAAACAGTTCTGCCCGCAGATTGAGTATTTCGCTCCTGCTCTTGTAGCAGTTGAGCACTCTTGCGTGGGGTAGTGCCTTTGCTGTTTGCGTTATGCAGAGCTCACTGACTTGTCAGTTTGAGCACTCTGGCAAGGTACGTTCGGGCCTGATTGGAAATTTTTATTTCCATTGCTATCAGGTTCGGCCTCATTTCCTCTGTGCTGCGCTGACGAGTCCACAAAGGACGAAACAGTTCTGTCCGCAGATTGAGTATTTCGCTCCTGCTCTTGTAGCAGTTGAGCACTCTTGCGTGGGGTAGTGCCTTTGCTGTTTGCGTTATGCAGAGCTCACTGACTTGTCAGTTTGAGCACTCTGGCAAGGTACGTTCGGGCCTGATTGGAAATTTTTATTTCCATTGCTATCAGGTTCGGCCTCATTTCCTCTGTGCTGCGCTGACGAGTCCACAAAGGACGAAACAGTTCTGCCCGCAGATTGAGTATTTCGCTCCTGCTCTTGTAGCAGTTGAGCACTCTTGCGTGGGGTAGTGCCTTTGCTGTTTGCGTTATGCAGAGCTCACTGACTTGTCAGTTTGAGCACTCTGGCAAGGTACGTTCGGGCCTGATTGGAAATTTTTATTTCCATTGCTATCAGGTTCGGCCTCATTTCCTCTGTGCTGCGCTGACGAGTCCACAAAGGACGAAACAGTTCTGTCCGCAGATTGAGTATTTCGCTCCTGCTCTTGTAGCAGTTGAGCACTCTTGCGTGGGGTAGTGCCTTTGCTGTTTGCGTTATGCAGAGCTCACTGACTTGTCAGTTTGAGCACTCTGGCAAGGTACGTTCGGGCCTGATTGGAAATTTTTATTTCCATTGCTATCAGGTTCGGCCTCATTTCCTCTGTGCTGCGCTGACGAGTCCACAAAGGACGAAACAGTTCTGCCCGCAGATTGAGTATTTCGCTCCTGCTCTTGTAGCAGTTGAGCACTCTTGCGTGGGGTAGTGCCTTTGCTGTTTGCGTTATGCAGAGCTCACTGACTTGTCAGTTTGAGCACTCTGGCAAGGTACGTTCGGGCCTGATTGGAAATTTTTATTTCCATTGCTATCAGGTTCGGCCTCATTTCCTCTGTGCTGCGCTGACGAGTCCACAAAGGACGAAACAGTTCTGTCCGCAGATTGAACAATAATTATTAAAGGGGAAGTTAAGGCAAAAATCAAAATTTCACCAGTTGTAGTCTTCGGGGTGCTGAGTCGAATGGTCTTGGTCCGAGAAAGCTGAGACGCTCCCTTCCTACTTGAATCCCAGTCGAACTCGCGCACTTCCACCGAAACTGGGTGACTGCGCCCTACTAGATGGGGATTTGTATGCAAAATGTCACTAAAAGCGCCATTTCGTTCTTATACTTTAAGTAAAAGCACGGATGAACGCGATTGGCCCATATGTTGTAGTCTTTTGGACGCTGAGTCGACTGGTTTTGGTCCGAATAGGCTGCGATGCAGCGTTCCTCCTTTATTCGCAATCGAACATGGTTGAACAAGCGGTCACGTGCTCCTGGGTGCCCAAATCAACTGTTCACCACGCCAGCAGGCAACAACTTTCACACTAAGGTTCAACTCGAGTGACAGGACTGCACCCAAAAAAAGGTCAAACAGTCTAGTAAGTTGTACCTGCAGGCACGGTGACCAGGTGACTGGTGTACGCAGGAGCACGTGACCACTTGTTCAACCATGTTCGATTGGGAAAATAAAGGAGGAACGCTGTTATTAAGATTATTGTCTCCACGTCGCCTTTTTACATATTAGCAAGTCACCAAACATATTACTAGCATTATTATTATAGAACTCGGATGGTGAGCCATTATAGTTATGATGAAGAAAGTAACTCGTAACTTTTTGTCCTTTTCCTTTCTTCATCATAATTATTATTATTGGAGGAATTAAACAAGAATTAAATAGTGGTTGTCCGATTCTCTTCCAGTCATCAAGGACGTATTCAGTAGCTGGTCGCTTACTCTGTACACGGGGGAAGACAGAGTGGCTGAACCTAACCCATGAATCATGATGATGACACTTGGCGATCCTCTGGCCAGCTTGCCTGCTGAGCTTGGGTCACGCTTTGGCGACAAGGAGGATTGTGAGCGACGAATGAGGTTGGCATCAACTGCCCGTGGCAAAACGTATGTAGGACTCTGATTCCAGTCAGGCCTCTCATAGCAGTCACTGCCCCTAATACCAGTCAAAGCAGTCACAAATCCTCTATTACCAGTCACCGGTCACAAACAAGTCACAGAGAGCCAAAAACAAGTCACCAGCTTTGATGTATGACATGGGTAGGTTGCCATTTGAAAGTATGGAGAACGAACGCGTTCAAGACAAAAGTTTTCTTTTCAGCGCTGATGTATGACATGGGCAGGTTGCCATTTGAAAGTATGGAGAACGAACGCGTTCAAAAGTATTCTTTTCAGTGCAAACAATTTTCCCTGTTTCGATCATGTTCTCGGTCAGTTTCGCTGCTTGTAGGAAAGATGTAGCTTGTTCCAGGTAATGTCGACGTCTTCTAGATGTGGTGGACGCTTGGAGAGATTGGCTGTGGCGATGTCGGCACGGAATGCGACTCGAAATTGCAAATTTGTATCGCTGATCCCATCGCAGTATTCGCTCTCCAAACAGGAGCGAGAGGGAGGGCAGCGATGGCCTAAAATCGTCAAGGCAGGCGTAATTCACCAGCCAGCGACTGCTTCTTGTCTTCTCTTTCACTTACCTTACGCTGGATATGAGTAGATGAAGAAAAATATTGATATCGAATCGGACACAATAATTCGAAATAATACGTATAATACAACCCACTAGTACGCTTGTACGTGAAATATAAACCGACATACAAACCGAGGCGAAGCCGAGGATTGTATGTCGGTTTATATTTCACGTACAAGCGTACTAGTGGGATGTATTATACTTATGCTGACCTTCATACAATTACAAACTGACAGTCAACTTCTTCCTGTTTCTATGGTGGCGGTCTATATGGGGTTTGTATGAGGTATGAGGTTTATATGCCCAGTATAAGCCGCCAGCATGATGGGCAAGTTGACTGGAAGTTTGTATGAAAGGTCAGCATAATGTGACTTATGCTGACCTTTCATACAAACTTCCAGTCAACTTGCCCATCATGCTGGCAGCTTATACTGGGCATATAAACCTCATACCTCATACAAACCCCATATAGACCGCCACCATAGAAACAGGAAGAAGTTGACTGTCAGTTTGTATGAAGGTCTGTAAGTATAATACATCCCACTAGTACGCTTGTACGTGAAATATATGTTGGACTCAGTATAGAGTCCATGCACTATCTGGTGTCCAACGCCCTATATAGAGTCCATTGGTCCAAAATCCACTATACAGAGTCCAGGAGTCCACTCAATTTTGATCAGGTCCATCCAGCCGCGCAATCCCCTATAAGGAGTACACTTTTTCTACAAGTCCCCTATTCACGGTCCAGGAGTCCAGTTTATCCAGTCACACCATCCTGTGTGTAGTAAAAAAATGAGAACAAACACCTTTTCAGTTTTGCTTGCCTCGTGGCAGTGCATTCCTTTCTTCACTGCAGCCATGGCTGCCAGTTCTGCTGTGCAGTTGCTGACAGTAATATGTCTCGAGGTAACCAAGGAGGAAAAGGAGACGTTCAAAATCAAATCTGGAAAGCGTCTTGTGGTTCTCTGAAGACGTTTCATCGTTTCGTCAGTGCGCGGGATGAAAGCAGAAATTGGAGAACGAGAAAATTTAGAAGAAAGGTTTGCTCCCCACACCGGAGCTCGCGCTATTCCGCCGACTTTACTTGACACTTGACTGACTCACGACTGCCATCCAGAGCACACGAGAAGTCCATCGAACCTTCGACTCAGCAAACCTGCAAGAAAGCACCACTCCCTGCTCAATACACAGTGTTTCGGGGAATTCACCCCTCATCAGTTGAGCTTGAGTAGGCTGAGGAAGATTGTGCCTGAAGAGCACCACTTATATAGTGCTCTCCAGGCACAAACATCACCAGGGATACAAAACTTACAGAGACGCTCCGCTGCCAGCGCGATAAACACCTCGTGAACACCAGAAAATTTAGCACAGTTCAAATCTGACGAGTCAGGTACACTGACACTCTCTTTCGTTCAGCGCCACAAAGATCCCCTGTTTGACTGGCCATGGCTGCCAGTTCTGCTGTGCAGTTGCTGACAGTAAGACATTTGAACGGTTTCATCAGTGCGTGGGATGAAAGCAGAAAGCGGAGAACGAGAAAAGTTCACCACAGTTCCAATCTGACGAGTCAGATACACTGACACTCTCTTTCGTTCAACGCCACAAGGATACCCTGGTTGACTGGACAAGAGCTGCCTGTATCACCGTGTCAAAAGGCTGTCCAACTACATGGCAGGACAATGACTGAGGTAAGGAAGCTTTTACTCGTTTCGATTGGTCTGCTGTTCTGTCGTTATGATTGAATTTTTTCATTTTCAAGGAGCGTATCGCGTTTGTTTGATGTTGCTTGAATGAATGCCCTAAAAGTAATCAACGACTTCGTAATAATAGTTGCGTGACAATGATATCAGTCCTCAAGGACTGCAAGGACTTTGCATCAATCGTCTAGCTATAATCACTTTTATTTCATGATAAATGTATTTTTGTCCTGTGATAATTATGTGAACTCCACGACACTCTTCCTCTAGTATGATGCCAAAATACAATGGGATCGACAAACGCAGTGCCAGTGTACTAGTAGTAGAAGGATTGCTTGTATGCCAATGACAAGAAAAGGCTTCTCAAGATAATACTGTAATGTATTCCACGAAGTAACCGTTTTGATGTCACAAACATGACATTGTGTCAGTGAAATTGCCTCGCGACAACAAAACATTGCATTTCCATCTTGGGGAAGACTGTTTGACTGACGGTAATGCTGTACAGATTGTTAAATCATCTCATTTCAATTTAGTTATAGTGAAGTGAAACACTGTGTACACTACATGTATGTTGGTGTGTCTGTGCATCTTGAGTGTGCACAAACGATCTTATTCCTCGTATTACTAATAGATTACTATCCCCACTCCTGTTTGAGGTGGCGATGCCATGACAGCTTCTTCTCCCTGGACTGGAGGATGCGATCTTCGCTACAGACCGTGAGTTCCAGCCAAAGCACCCTTCTCAATTTCTTCGAGAAGAGAACTATGCCTGGACGACACATGGTAGGTGCAATAAAGAGTGGGAATACTAGCCTCTCGTCCAGATCTGAAAGAAGCTGCCAATCATGTGATCCCGACAAAAACCCATCGCTCAGACCTTTCGGCTGAGGTAATTCGCCGCGGGGGATGCTTTGACCCGGTTTACAGAAGGTAATGTATGTACCGATAGTGGGAGTTTGCTCGGTATTTGACGACTTTTGCTTTGCTGATACTACTTCTAACATGAATTTACTGATTTGTAGAAGAAAAAGAAAAAGAAGAAGAAGAAGAAGAAGAAGAAGAAGAAGAAGAAGAAGCGGCTGTGTGATGCATTGCGCTCGCAAGACCTCCTTATTCTCCCGGTTGCCTAAGCCGCTTTTTGTACTGTGCCAAAGATCTGGATCTTACTCCAGTTTCTTTCATATACTACAGCATATTCTCCATTCTATCTCCCTTCCATGCCTTTTTTCTCCCCTCTCCTCTTCTAAGTCATCTCCTTGTGAGAAGGCATTGCCTGTTTGGTTGACCGACTATAAATATAAGCACAATAACAACAACTGCGCAGTGAACTCTTGGCATTCTCAAGATTCCTCAGTGCAATCTGCAGGCTGATCAATTTCCAAAATGGGCCAAACATACAGATAATGCATGCACATTTCAGCAAGACCTCACAATAGTAAACAAGATCAGTTTTGAGCAAACAGATTCCAATTGGTGCCCTGGACCCTTTCAATGAATACTCACAGAGATCCAAGGTTTGTGATGCCAAAAATTCCCGATGGAAAGGATTTTAGTTGATTGTCACTCAAATCTCTGCAAAATAAATTAGATGAAATAGATAAGCCAGCTGTGAGTAAGTGCAGAGAGCACCCAGACCATTCTACACTGGGATGCATTGCCTAGAAGTCGCTTTAAAAACCAATGACCACCCCCATGTCATCACTTCACCAAGTGTTTTTACAGAAGTTGCGTTTATTGAATTTATCACAACATCTCAAGACTCGGTGGAAACACCGGCCAATAAAGAGAGTGGGTGATTGCCAACCATGGCGAAATAAAAAGTAAGGAAAGGGAAAACAAAAGAGTAGCAAATCAACAGCAACAACAACTCAACCCGACAGCTTTGACCTACTATTGCTGAAACTGTCAGCCAACAACCGCACCATCAACGCAACATGCATCTACCGACCACCCCGTTGCGACCATCGTCTATTCTGCCAGCACCTTGAGGAACTGATCCGAGCCATACCAACAACAACGCAAAAGATTATCCTCGGTGATTTCAATGCAAAGAACGCTGCTTGGTGCCACTCTGACACGACAGATGCTGTTGGCGAGGACCTAGCAGTGCTGTTCCAAACTTACTAAGTACTCTCTACACCAACATGTCACATTCCCCACTCTTTTGCAGAATGGGCACCCTAAATCCTGCCTAGATCTCGTCGCCACGGATGTAGACAGCGACTATGTCCTTATCTCTAGTCTCCCGCAGATCGGCAACTCGGACCACCTATCCATCAGGGGTTTAATCCAGCCAGTCGCTGCACCCCCTCGAGCCGTACCACCTCCCACCCATAACACCACCCTTTGGAAATGGTCAAACCAAAGCATCAGCAGTCTGAAAGCCGAAATTGAACGCACCCAACTGCTACCGGAAGGTGACACCCTGAACACTACCAACATAGACAACCTGTGGCATTCATGGAAGGACAAAGTGCTCACTTGTGCCCGCAAACACTGTGCAGTAGCTCACTCCCCGAGGCATACTAGCCACCCCGCAAAGCCATGGCTGAACCCAGAGCTCACTAACGCCATCAGAGAAAAACACCGGCTCTACCGTGCCTACTTGCGCACCCGGACGCCCTGCAACTGGACAGCATACACCACCCAACGCAACAAAGTTACTCACCTTCTCCGAATCGCTAAGTCTACATATGTCAGTAATGGCACTGGGACGAGCCACTCCACACCAAATCTACACAAACTGATGCACGGCCTCCAGTCCTCACAACGACCTATTCTGCCAGACATGCTCTCCCAGGGCCAGACTCTCTCAACCCCTGCTGAAAAAGCAACCGCCCTGAACGCTTTCTTCATCTCGCAGAGCCAACAGTCAGTCACAGGGTGCCACGAGGAACTCCCCTCCATTCATTCCCCCACACCCAATACACCTGGCCTCACTACACTTGAAACAACAGCCCAAGAGGTCTCAAAGTTACTGTCTAACCTGGACCCGTCAAAGAGCCCGGGCTGTGATGGCATACCAACCCGCCTACTGAAAGAGGCAGCCAGTTCACTTGCGCCATCCCTAGCAACCCTTTTTAACATCTCCTTCGAACGTTGCACTATCCCGCAAGAGTGGAGGGACGCAACAGTCACCCCCATCCACAAGAAGGGCAGCAAAACCGAGCCCTCCAACTATCGACCGATATCGCTACTCAGCCTGACGTCGAAAGTACAAGAGAGGATAGTTGCTGACCGCATCTCGAAGCACATTCAACCTCACCTCCCCAACGGCCAATCAGGCTTTCGGCCAAACGATGGCACCACACAGCAGCTATCTCGGCTAATCCATCAGATCACCGAGAAAAGAGACGCCGAGCAAACAATAATTGCTTGCTTCCTCGACCTATCTAAGGCGTTTGACCGGGTGTGGCACCAAGGACTGCTTGCAAAACTGGCCCACCTCGGACTCGATGGCAAATGCCTCCAGTGGCTTGCCTCGTATCTCACCAACAGACGACAACGTGTGCAAGTGGAGAGCAGCAAATCAACCTGGCTGAACATTCCAGCGGGGATCCCCCAAGGCTCTGGCTTGGGGCCGCTTTTGTTCACGGCCTACACAGTCGATCTGCCAACCGCCTGCATAAATGCCAACACTGAGTGCAGCCAGTTTGCCGACGACACTGCCATCATTGCCGCTCACGAGAATTTTCTAGCTGCAGAAGAGCACCTCCAGTCAGCTGTGACAACTGCGGCACAGTGGCTGAAGGGTTGGCATCTCCTGGTCAACGAAAGTAAGAGCACTGTCATCCACTTTCACCACCCCAACCGGCCTGTCGTGACTCGCGACATCATAAGGATCCCGACTCAACGGACATGAAAGACATTTACGTTTCTTGATTTGGAAAGTTTGTTTCTTTGTTTCTTTCTCAAACAAGATCAAATTTCAACGGAAAAAGGGCAGCTGCATCCACAGGCAGCTGCGCACAAAGAACATGCATAAAAATGGCGACCACGACCTTCATTTACGTGGCATGGTAACAAAAGGAACTAGTGCAGCGACAAACAGAAATGGAGAAGAAGTGAACAGCAAGGAGAGCGAATCGCTAAATGCACTAGCCTACTGTCTGTCTGTACAGTCATGGAGTTAGTGAACACGCAGTCACGTGGTCACGTACACATAAACGTCATACAAATACGTCATCATGGTCATGCATAACAAAAGGAAAGGAAAGGAAAGTCACGCGTGAGCAAAACAAATCAAGAGCGCGAAAATACTCACGGGACGAAAACATAACGAAGAATTTGTTTGTGAACAAAATGCAAAGAATAGAGAAACGAAGGATTGCTTTGAAGCTACTTCGAAGTAGAATGAAATTAATCACTAGAAAGGACGATGGGGAACTAGACTTCGGCTAACCCAAGCGTGGAATCAGCCACAACGTAAGCAAGCAAGAGAGTACAAAATCATCGTCATGTAATGCAAATATAAATTGGTTATTCCGAATTCATGTACATGTATTTCATCGCGACGTTCGCGACACTCCCCACAACAGAGAAAAAGAGCGATTGTAATTGCAGTAGTGTAGACAAAGTGTAAATGAGTGTGTGGTGATTGCTTAGTGTTCAACAAGAGAGTGTACTGTGTATAAATACATTCATGCAGACTATTTACAGAGTTTACAGAGTTATACTGCACCTTGACTTATTAGGTTCTTCAGGTTAGCACGGGAACCAGCGGCTGCTCGGCGTGTTGGTCGAGCTGGTTGTTGCTGTGTAGGTTGTGCAGGCTGTGCAGGTTGTGCGGGTTGTGCGAGCGGCGGGTCATCGTGCGCTGCATCGTGATTCTCCGCTTGCACAATTGGGTACAACAGACATAGTGGACGTTGGATCTGCCGCTTGGATGGCAGAACAACTGTTGCAGATCTGATTTCACCATCATTACTGTTGTGCAGTTTGTCAATTCGTCCAATTAACCAAGAGCCGCGTGGCATCTTTTCTTCCTTGACTAGGACAACAGTATCCACAGCAGGTGGATCATGTGCTTGTAGTCTTCCATGCGGAAGTGCAGTCTGACCACGTTCACGTAGCGTGGGTAGATACGAATACTGCCATTCTGACCAAAAAGTCTGTAGTAGGCGTTGACCATCCGTCCAGGCAGTTAGCAATGTGTTAGCCAAAGACGTGTCAGGCTCAAACGTCGGGTCATTACCAAAGTCTCCCTCCATACCAGGAGTGCCCAACTTCGGGTTTAAAGACAAGAAATGGTTGGGAGTAAGAACATTACCAAAATCCAATTCGTTTCCAACGTAGACCAGTGGACGTGCATTAATTATCGCCTCCGCCTCCATTAGAAACGTATTGAGCATATCACGGTTTGGAATTGAAGTGCCCACTGTCTTTCGTAGGACCCTTTTCACTGATTGTACTAAGCGCTCGTATGCGCCGCCCATCCATGGAGACAGCTGTACTATGAATTTCCATTGTATTCCATTCGTAGCACAGAACGAAGTAAAGTCATCGGTGTGGTTCACGTCATTCCAAACTTCACCAATGACGTTCGAGGCAGTGTGAAATTGTTTTGCATTATCTGACAAAACTTCAATCGGCGTACCTCTACGGGCAATAAATCTACGAAAGCCCAGTAGAAATGAGGCTGTTGTCATGTCTTCCATTAGCTCGAGGTGGATTGCGCGAGTAGTCAAACATGTGAACAGGCAAACCCATACCTTGCATTTCTCGCTTTCCTTGGTCATTGTCATTGGGCCGAAGTAATCGATACCAGTGTACGAGAATGGTATGCACCTGTTAACACGCTTGCTCGGCAGTGGAGCAAAATCCGGCATTGGGTATGGTTTCGCTTCCCATTTCTTGCAGTGGTAGCAGCTGTGCAATATTGTCTGCACGGTGGCCCGCCCACGAGTTATCCAGAAACGCTTACGCACCTCCATGAGCGTCTGGCTAGTACCGGAGTGCCGAACGCGAGCGTGGCACAGTTGCACGATTAGCCTCGTGGCAGGATGTTTCCGTGGCAGCAGTATTGGACCAGATTCTGGAAACCTAGCATTCTTCATGCGCCCTGCGCACCGAATTAGGCCGTTGGTATCGATAAGTAGACCGAGTTTGGTAACGAGTTCCATTTTTTGTTTTTTCTGAATTGCATTTTTAATTTCACCAAATTCTTGACCTTGGATAACTCGTACACATTCCATTTCAGCTTCCTTGATATTGGTTGTGGTTAGTTGTGTTTGTTGTTTGCATTTGCCTTGCAGCTTCTGTACTGCCAGTTTCACGTAAGCCATTACGCGTACCGCTTTCGACCAACTGGAATACCTTTCGATAGAGATGAAAGGACCCTCCCCAGAGCAAGAATTGATTGCGACAGATACCTCAGTGGGTGGTTCTGAGGCCATTGCTGCAGCTGTAGCAAGTGAAGGGGATGGAAGTTCACCGAGTGAGCTGGTATCACCGCGTAGCCATTCAGGACCTTCCCACCAGAGTTTGCTGGCGTGCAATGCAGCAGCTGTTGCACCACGTGAGGGTAGGTCGGCAGGATTGCAATCTGTACTGACGTACTTGAACGCAATTGT